TTTTTTTTTTTTAATAAAAGAATAGAAGATAAGTAAAGCTCATAGAAATTGAGTCTCGTAAAGCACCATGAGAAAATGCAGGTATTCGTGTGGTTGTGCACATTATTCTCCTAATACAAGTCCACTTCTGGAGCTTACACGTGTTGATTCTTGACACCTATTGAAAGGGGAAACTGCAATTCTAAGATAAACATGGGCAGCTTAGGATCTGGTTCCAGTTACCTCACAGGAGGCCTTGGTGTGACACTTTAGTCATGTGGAATGAAAGGACTGGTTATTTCACTCTCCTGTCTTATTTTGCCACTCCCCTGATCTGTACTTTCCACTCCATTCAACAGGTCAGAGATCAGCTAACTGTGGCCTAAGGGCCACATCTGACCCGCCGCCTGTTTCAGTAAATAAAGTTTGCTTGGAATCCAACCACTCGGGCTGTTTGTGTTGTCTGTGGCTGCTTTTGTGCAACCTGGCCAGAGACCATTTCGCCCACGAAGCCTAAAATATTTACAGAACATATTTGTCAACCCCTGCAGTAGGAAGTCATGTGTGTACTGTGACCCTGCCACATTAAGAAGACATTTGATAGGTCTTAGCTATTTGAGATTTTTAAAGACATTGTGGGACATAAGAAATGTAAAGTAACTAATTCATTTTAGGAAATTAAACATATCACAAGAGAATGGCCAAAATATGCTAAAACATGCACACAAATAAAATCTTCCATGACAATCTGAAAAAACTACAGAATGAAAAGAACCTACTTTTTGATGTACAACATGTTCGAATGTTAAAAGTTATTATATTTGGTCACATTTGGCTGTTGCTTTATTTTTTTTTTTCTTATAAATGCTGCCAAATATGTGATTCTGGGCTTCATGTCCAACAAGGTGACAAACATAGGTGAGTCTATAGAACTGAACATTGACATCATGGCCACACCAAATGTGATTATTCATCTGATCTCATTTGGCCAAAATAAATTTGAGATGTATCACACAAAACTGTAGATGCAATAGAAAAATAATTAAAGAAGGCTTAAAAAACAAGAGTTCAAGTTGGAAGAAAAGAGAAGAGAAGGAGTTACATCAATTAAGAGTTCTTAACCTTCTTATTTCATGAGAAGAAATATTCTGTTATGTCAAGAGATAAAAATTATACACTAGGTTTAAGACAAAATTTTTTGAAGAGTGTAAAATAATCTCTTGATGTTCATATTAAATTTAGATGTATTGGCTTAAATGAAATGTATTATGAAAGTTAATTTTTCTTCTTTTTTTAATATGACTACTAGAAAATATATGAAACTCAAGAGATTAAGCATCTGCCAACCTAATGAATAATGTACATATAGATCCCACCATCTTAGGACATGTTTTCTGAAATATTGATCACAAATTTAAAATAAACTTTCATACTCTTGGGGAAAAAAAATGATATCATTTGCGGTTTTTTACAAAACCATGCCTGGTTTAATGACAGCCTGATTTGTGTTCGGGTTCCAAATCTATAATTTCTTTCTTATTCATCTAACAAATTAGAAAACATAAATCACAATTACAGATAATTGGAAACGTTGGCAAACATCCAGTGTCTCTGTCAGATGGTTCTGGAGATTCCGACCAAGTGCACTTATAAATTTTAACTCCAGCTGACAACCGCCTTTGCCCTGGGTCCACCCCATTGCAGTGCTGAAGGATCATCTATTTCATCGTGGGAGATATTTTCAAAGTGCTTACCTACTCTATTCTTTGGTAGGGTTGACCCTGAAAAGTATTTCTTCCTGTTGTCTGTAGCTTTTACGTAATGATCTTTAAGTAGGCCACTCTGCTCTGTGACTGCTGAGATAACTGCCCCAAAGCCAAAAAAAATCAGCTTCATCAAAGCCCCCCCCCCATCCATTGATCCCACTACCTTTTTCACTGTCTCTCTTCTTATCACTCAGGACCTTGTGTCCCTCTTTACTCAGTTCAAGGCCCATGGACAGGCAGCAAAATCACTCCCTTGCACACAACTTGATTCCTTGTCCTCCCTCTCTTCTCACACTAGCAGAAACCACATCCACTGACTTCCCCTCTGAATTTGACTGGAGAAAAGCATGGTTGTACTTTCTGGTTTCACTTTTAATTCATGCCCACAAACTTCAAGTGGGAACTTAATGCTGCCCCAGCAGGCACTTTATATGTTATTCTCTATCACGGAGCTTTAGCTCTAGCTGGAAAAATTGAAGCAATAACAGGGAGCTTCCACCAGTTCCCACTGCTGCTGCCCCATTGTAGCTGGAGATGAGCTGCCTGCACTCCGGTCTGAAGGCAGCCCCTCCACTCTGGTGTCAGATGTGTCCCCTCTGCCTACTCAACACCGGGGCTGTAGTAACTCCCAAAGTCAGCTTGCCTCTCTCTGTTGGTCGTTCCCATCCACCTCCAGTGACTCTGATGCTTCTCCCATCATATTTAGGAAAACATACATTTCCAAACCCCACTGCACCCCTCCCTGCAGCCCCAACTCCATGCCTCCTCTCCCCTGTTCAGCAGTACTCTGCAGACATCATCTGCTGCCCATTCTTATGTCTCCCAGTTTCTCCTTCTGGATCTTTCCTGCATCCAGTTCAATGTTTGGCCCAGTGGTTTTACTGCTCCTGTCCAAGTTCCCAGTTAAATCCCCTGGTTTTCAGCCATCGTCTCACGTCCATTCGCCACACTCAGCATCCCTCCCCTTGAAGCACTCCATCGCCTATTCCAGGATGCGCCCCTTATTGATTTGCCTCTCACTCGCCTGGCCATTCGTTCTCAGTGTCCTGGGACTTAGACCTTAAACCTTTTCTCTGTCTGCACCCAAGACTATGGTTCATCATCAATAAAGTGTCATGACTTGAAATAGCCTCTATGTGCTGATGACTCCCAGGTTTATTCCCAGTCAGATGCTCTCCTGACCTCCACATTTATATGCCCAACTAAGAGCTTTTGGGTATCTTCATTGTATTGTGTTATATGTCCAATACATATCTCAGACTTACTTGTCCAAGACTTACCTGGTCTTCCTCCTATCCTCCACAGTCTGCTCCATCTCATCACAGTTCTGTCCCTTCAGTGGCCCAGGTCAGTTCCTAACACTTTCTTGCTGTTCCCAAACCTCTTTTGTCCCCTTCCTGAATTATTGCAGGAGCCTCCTAACTCTATACCGCACACTTCAACATCTTCCAACATGGCAACCAGAGTGGTCTTCAACTGTCAAATCACCTCTCCTCTACTTTGAAGTTCTTTCTCTTCCCTCTACTACCCCTGCTTATAGCCTGCTCCAGCCGTGCTGGCAGGATGGCAGGCAAGTACCCAACTACCCAAGAGTCTTTCACAAGCTGTTGCCTGTGTTTAGAATTCCGAGAACTCTACCCCCACTACTGAGCACAACACTTTCTCACCTGTCTCCAGGGTCACCTGTTCAGCATTACCTGCTCTGGCCTGCCTCTCACCCTGCCCTTTTTCCTGTACTTCTTCTCACCTCCTCAGACATTTGTTACATCCTCTACGTCCTACTAGAATGTAACCTTCAGAATTTCACAAATTTTTGTCTCTTCTGTTTATTGGTAGATCTTCAGCATCTAGAAGAGACACTAAGCAGTGTGTTGAGGGTATAAATCAAGAGTTTTTCTGTTTCTGCCTCATGCCCCGCAGAATCTGCTGAGAGTGCCTCGTGATAGCTTTTGATTCCTTTCAAGTGTCTCAAGTGTTATATCAGAAAGAGATTCAGAAAATAACCACCGAAAATGGTGGCCTAGACTTGATTACAAATTGTCTTTTATTCTAAACTGAAAACAATTCCCCTAAAATGTAGCAGCGCTATCCACTGATATTGAAAATGTGTAAATAATTGATCCTTGACATTTTTTTTTGATCCTTGACATTTTTAAGAATATATTCAAAGTTCTTCACAAATTCCCCAATTCGTGTACACCGCAATAGTATATTTACTAACTTGGATTTCAGTCAAAAGAAAAGAAGGAAGCTACGTGAAGCCCTGGCCACTGTGCATCCAGCCAGGCTCAGCTGTTGGGAAGAGGCTCACCCTGTAACCCAGCAGGTCTGCCTCATACTTGTGCCTCTGCAGTGTCACCATTACAACAGCTCTTGGATACAGAGTGTTTCCCCTGTATTGTTGAATCCAAGAATTTCAATTTTGTGAAAGCTAGAGTTCATTATATTATTTTATTCTGTTTATTACTTTCTGTGGTACTAGGGATTGAACCCAGGGCTTCATGCATAATACTCAAATGCTGTACCATTGACCTATATCCCCAGACCAGTTTTTTTGTTTTGTTTTGGTTTTGGTTTTGGTACTGAAGATTTAACTCAGGGTTGCTCAACCACTGCACTACATCCCAGCCCTTTTTATTTTTTTTATTTTGAGACACAGTCTCACTAAGTTGCGTGAGTCTCACTCAGTTGCTGAGGCTGGCTTTGAACTTGTGATCCTCCTGCCTCAGCCTCCTGAGCCACTGAGATTACAGGCATGTGCCACTGCACCCAGCTTTGCTCGACTTTATATATTAACTTTAAAATTTTAGTTCTGCTAGGCTGCTGTACCTTGGTTTAGAATGTAATGTGTGTGGGTATTATTACCACTAAAGGACAAGTTAACTTACTGTTAAAAACAAAATAAGCAATCTTTTATATCTGTAGGTTTTCACTTTGAGACCAAAAGACAAGTAAGCATCCATTCCAAGTAATTTGGGACCTCTGAAAATAAACAGAAAAAGAGAAAACTTATGTCTTTGTTTTCGTTTTTCAGCTGATCTATATGTACATAGTATATATAGTATAATAATAATATATGTAATATTTCTAGTTTAACAAACCTCTGTGCCATGGGAATCCTTTTTTGAATGATGAACAGGAATCTTTGATTTAAAAAAAAAAAAAAAAAGGTTGGCGTAAAGAGGGTGCTGTCGCCACGGTGACAGCTGTCCAACAGAAACATCTCACATCTCTTCTGTTTATCATGTGTTTTAGGGCAATTCAAGCTGCTGGAACAAGACAGAGACATAAAAGAGCCAGTGCAATATTTCAACAGTGTGGAGGAGGTGGCTAAAGCATTTCCTGAACGCGTGTACGTCATGGAGGAAATTACTTTCAACGTGAAGGTAGCTCTTGAACAACCAAATATTTATCTTCACTAAAATAATTTAACATTCAAGTCTGTATGTACACAGTACGTGCGTGTCTGCCTCCCGGGAGAGTTCCATCCTCCCAGTGGGTTAGTGTCAGCCACCAAAACTGCATGTATTACAGAGCTAACCTGGCTCCCGACCACATACTCTCTTCATTAGCATTGTCTTTTGTTAGAATTTAAGTGATGAATTCAAAAATAAAATTGCAAAAGCAGATAAAAGATTTTTTTTTTTTAATTTGGACTTTATTCCCTAATGTGTAACATATGTTTGACTAGACCTTCTGTGAGACTGGGTATTTGACTCTTCAGAGCAAAGGCATTTGATGAAATGAATACTCAACCTTTAGTTAAGGAAGAAAGAAAAGACTTCCAAAGCTGCCCTGAGATCAGCCTCGATTCATCCCATTCTTTGTGAACTATCTATTGCAATATACACCAAGAAAATGGATGAAAATCTTACCCAGAAAAAAATGCTAGCTAGGGTTTGCTCTGCTTCATGTGCTTTGCCTTCTTAAAGGGACAAGGCACTCCCCCTTCCACACTTACAGTGAGCTCCTTTGACCAGACTTGATCTTGAAGCATTGCCATCAACTCGGTCCAGTCGTATGACCCACAGGTCTACTGTGTTTTCTTCAGCAGCACCCACAATTATACTCAACCACATTAGAAAGTGTTCACATTGAAAGGATTTCCTATTTAACCTCATTTCCACAGGAAGTCCAATTAAGTCACATTCTCTGAACATTTCAAGATTTAGGAGGCCAGAATTCTGTTTCTTAGAAATCCGCTCTCCGTGAACAACAGACTGCATGGCATTTTGGCCCAAGAATGCATCAGTGCCTTTGTGGGTGAGTCAGTCTGCCCACACTCTTCAGGAAAGGTGGAGACATCCAAGCAAACTTCTTATTGCAGAGATGGTTCTGTCTATTTTATTGGCTAAGCTAAGTCATTTTTTCTAATATGGAGCCGCTCTAATCAACTTTCTTTAGTGTTATTTTTAGGGTGAATGAGATTTTATAGTTTGTAAAATCTTATACTAAATAAATTTTATTTATATGCAAGAATATTTATATAATTGTTTTTACTCCTTCGGTGGCCCAGAATGTAAGACAACGTGCATTCAGTTACACTCAAAGTTCATGAGGACATTTTCTGTATTTTTTAAACTTACCAGCATTAATTGGTTCGTGGGAAGTTAAATCTGTTTTTATTTGTCCCTCTGTCTGGTTTTTATCAGTTCTAGGGATCAGAACAAGGGCCTTCAGCATGGTGGGCTAGTAGTGCTTTTCACTGGGCCATATTCCCAGCACCAAGAAGTTGAATCAGTTTTATTAATGTCTTCATAGGATTTAAAGCTCTTCTTAAAACTTATATTTAGAATTACTTAATGAAAAAAAAATGTTTTAAAAGGCAGGTTAATACCTTTAAACTTTTTTCTAAAAATATTTCATCTGCACTGGGTAAAGTGGTACACATCTGTAATCTCAGTGACTGGGGAGGCTGAGACAGTAGAATCACAAGTTTAAGGCCTCAGCAATTTAGAGAGATCCTCAATGACTTAGCAAGACCTCACCTATCTCAACATAAAAAATAAAAAGGACCATGGATGTATCTCAAAGGTAAAGTGCCCCTGGGTTCAATCCCTAGTCCCCCACCAAAAATATATTTCATCAATAATAAATGATGAGGGCTGGGGATATAGCTCAGTTGGTAAAGTGCTTGCCTCACATGCACAAGACCCTGGATTCAATCCCCAGTACCACCAAATAAATAAATAAGAAAGATGAAATATCAAGCATAAAAATTTTTCATGGTTTTTAAGATTTCCTCTAGTACTAAAGTTAGCATTCCAGTTTTGTGACATATTGTTCCTGTACAGTATTTTTAAAAGATGCCTCTAGAGGCTTTCTTTTTGTAAATTTTGCACTAAAAAAGTGATGATTTAAAAGATAATACTAGCTTTGGATTGTGCAAAGGGGAATGAGGGGAAGGGTGGGGTTGTGGGGATGGGAAGGAGTGGAATGAGATGGACATTATTACATATTATTACATATTACATTAGACATGTATGGTCATAGTGTAACCCTACCCATGTTCATCAAAAGAAAGAAGTTGTGCTCCATTTGTGTACAATTTGTCAAAATGTATTCTACTGTCATATATAGCTAATTAGAACAAATTTTTTGAAGTATGCACAAAAGGAAAAATGAATGAAAATTTTTACTATTCAGGCTAAAAGGACCTTGAAAACTCATCTAGCTTTTTCTGAAGGCTTTTATGAACCATATTAAAGTCAAATCAAATAACTAAAAATGGAATTAGAAAAAAAATATAATACTAAATTTATAAATTTTTACAGTCTTAAATATATAGAATATCATGTTTGGGTATATTCATTAAAGTGTATGTAGTAGAGATGTCTCTTAACAGTTTGAAGGCAAAAATAAGTGTATAAAAGGTGAGCTTATCATATCCATAGAGCTAATTGGATTTGGGTTGAGTTCTATGCTATGCAAAAATAAATACTTATAATCTATTACTTACAAAGTTTTGAGAGCCATCACCTCCAGCTTGCATAAATCAATAAGACATTATTCAGTTCTTTTCAAATGATGATTGATATAGAAACCTCAGGAAATTTGTGTAAAGGAATATATAATGTTTGCAAGCTTAGTGAATAGACACCCAAACAAATAAATAAACTGAGGAAAGCTATGAGAAGTTGTCTGGATGCTACCTGGCCTGAAAGTAAATACTGGGAGTCACAGTCTTCTTTAATTAAAAATAAACATGATTATAGTGTCTGTGAGCATTAAGGGGGTGGGGAGATAAAGAAATGACACATTGGTTCATTACTTCCCTAGGAGAAGGAGAACAAATGAAAACAATGCTGTTTACTCACTGACGTAGATATTACCAGGAAACAGTTTTTTAAATGAAATCAAACCTTCACACTCTACCATCCACAATATAACTTAGACCAATAGGATATACCATTGAAGAAACCACTTGCAGTTAAGAATTGATATCTAATTGTCCTCATAATAGTCAAGACACAAGTATTATTGGAAGTCAGTATTGTATAATATTATATATAAAGTATAAATAAATATTTTTATGTATATATTCATATATATGCCCAAATTGAAATCAAATCTAAAGGATTTAGAAAAGAGCAAGTATATTGAAAGAATGGGAACTCTAGTTCTATTTTTTTTTTTTTTTGGTCCAAGACTATAGTAAAATTTTAACTCAATGAATTTACTACATAATACCATTTCCACATTTATTTAAAAATGAAGCATTTCTTTTAACCTAAAATTAATGTTTTTTCCAGTACTAGGGATTAAACCCAGGGCCTCACACGTGCTAGGCAAGCATTCTATCACTGAGGTATATCTCTATTTTTTAAAATTCTGTTTTGAGGCAAGGTCTCACTAAGTTGCCTGGGCTTGCCCCAAACTTTTAATATTCCCGCCTCAGCTTCCTTAGCAGCTGGGTTTACATATATATATCACCATACCTGCCAAAAATTTGTCTTTAAAGATATGTTGAACCTATTTTGTCTCATCATCCTAGATGTGAAACACCTATAAAAACTTAAATATAGTATGTAATATATAAGTATGTTATAATAAGAATATAATTGTATTATACTATAATGGTTTTGATAATATTATATATACATTACAACCCACTTTAATGTACCTATGTCAATTTCATTGAAATATGCACAAAATTGAAAACTTAAAGACTTAATGGGTTAAAATTATCTGCCTGGTTGCCCCACCATTGATTAACTTCATGAAATGAATTCCAATATATAAAGTGTTTAATGCTTTAACCAGCAAGTATATTTTGAGCTGCTACTATATGCCCAACAGTGTTTTAGGCCCTGGGAATACATTGTGAATATGCAAAAGCTACCTGCATGGAGAACACAGTCTGATTGATAGGGTAAACAGACAATAGATAAATAGAATGTGTTAATACTACCTCCAAGTAGAGATACCAAGAAGACAGTTTGGTGTCCAGATCTGGAGCTTGAAGAAAGGTCTAAGCTTGGAGTTTGGGACTCATCACCTCTGGGAAGATACTTAAAGTCATGCATCCAGTTGAGTTTAACCTATACCATAGGTTCTCAGCCAGGGGTGATTTTTGTCCCTCGGGGTACATTTTGCAATACCTGCACATAATTTTAAGTGTCATACTGTGTGGTAGAAGACATTCCTGGCATCTAGTGGATAGAGGTTGGGATGTCCCTAAGCATACCACAAGATAGAAAAGAGGCCCCTACAACAAAGAATATTCCACCCCTAAGCCTTAACCTAGAGACTAGATAAAGAGAGGTCTGAGAATAGAACTTGGAACACCTCAGCATCTAGGGGTCTAAAAAAGAGGCCACAGTGAGGTAAGAGGACAGCCAGGAGTAGGCGGTGTCCAAAGCCAAGTTTCAAGGAAAAATGAACAACTGTGTCAAATGCTGCTTAATAGCTGAGTGAGTTGCGGACACATTTAGCAAAATGGTGCCCGTTAGTTGCTTTGACAGGAGAAAATATTAATCGGCTGTAAGATCTGGAAGGTAAGTTAAGCAGAACTATACATTAGGTAGTCCTTGAGTTTTGTCACTGTGAAATTCAAGTGAGATTTGTCAGTACCACCCTGTGTTTCTTCCCGCCATCTGCAGCTGCCTAGATGCAGGTACAGAGTAGACAGAGAGCTGGGGCTGATCAGAGGTTCTACCAGGTGAGTGTTACCCAGATTAGCCAAGGTGTTAGTGAAGTATATGGTAGAAAGACAGATAGCACTGAGCCATAGAACCCTCACTGGGAAAAGAAGTACAAATGCAGAAAGTAGCCCCAGATAGGAACAGGAAACGGGAGGCAAGATGGTCCAGAAAATTCAACAATATGTGAGCAGGTAGCCTCTTGCCAATCATTTATGTGCATTTTTACTCCAATACCTGCAGAG